ATTTGGAAAAGGACTGGCGTGCAGGTGCTAGCTGAGCCATCTTCACGCTGTACGCTTGCATTGCGACGAGCTTCAGAGCCTAAAGAGTTTCCTGTGGGCTAAGCCCCGCGCGGAGTGCCCACACAAGACATGGCGCACTGCGTTGTATCGGAGAAGGCCTTGCCGCATGATGAAGTTATCGTAAGAACTAAGCCGATCGAAATATTTTAGGCTTGTTTTCGCTAATTACACATACAAAACTCAGAAAGAGTAGCCTGATGTTATCCAGATATTAATTGAAAGCAAAAAATGCACTTGACTAGGGAAACCAACTGCCAACGCCGTCATGCCAACTCCCCTTTGGAGGTTAAGTGCAGGTCCAGCGCCTGTTTGTAAGACGCTAGGATAGGTTGGAGGATCTCTAGTAGGCAACATGCGCAACAACTCGAGGATTTGCGCAGCCTTGGAGAGGCCAAAGTCTCCGAGCTTGGCCTGTCGCATTACAGCAGCCCACCACAACTGACGCTTCGGAGCGGGGAGACTACCCTACCCCAAGCTGGCAAAGCGAATTCAGACAACGCTTCTTCCGGTCCTGCAAGCCATTCTGAAAGATGAAGATGTGCGAAGGTTTGATGTCACCTCAGCAGGTCTTGGTTTTATAGTCTAGAAATCAGAGTTGCTGTTTTGGCCAATGTCTGACAAAAGATGCAGCCAACATGGCCTTTGCTTCTGCCAGCCGCCCTTCTGCAACAGAACACGACATACATGCTTGCCCTGAAGCTACCATGCGCACTGCCATCTGACAGAGATGTCTGCTGAAGCCCCAACAACAGCGCACCTTGGAAATCCCAGAATATAATTCATTCTGCAATTTGAAATGTGGCTCCTCCAGTAGCTGCGTCTCGAACAGAAGTGCAACTGGCAGAAGTGCAACTGATCCAGGTGAGTCTCGATGTAGCACCCGGCGCTTGTGCAGGTATGCCAGTGCGCCTGCGTCACATGACAGAACAGTAGGATGACAGCCTACCATGCAATCACCTTTTTATGCTCTTCCACTGCATGATTGCTCAAGGACCTCCAGATTGATTATTAAGTCCTGCAGTCGAGGAGCTGGCGACATCGCACAGCCTTGCAAATTTGCCAACATTACTAAAAAAAAAGTGACCACTGGAACAGGCCAGATGTGACGTTAACGTAGCACCTGCTTTGATAGTTAGCTTTTCAAGTTCGACAAAAGTCGCAGCTTGTACTGTACCGAGATGCCATCGCCAGAGGAAGTGCTCTTCGATTCGCTCTTCATGCCTTGGCACAGCATGCGGCAGATTCAGGAGCGCAGTAAACAGCTGTGGGTGGCTGCGCATTTGTTTTTAAAGCTCCGGAACCCAATCAAGATGATGCGGATCACTGACCATTAATGGCGCAAATCTCCAAACCAGCTATCCTCCCACAAATTACCCGTTTCGGCGCTATAGATCGCCATTGGCCATAGCCTTCACCTTTAAGACACATTTTGGTGCCCTCGGGCATTTCACGACAAGCGGCTCTTTCACCTGGTCGATCTTGTTTGACAGAGTACCACCAGAAGCCAACTCCATGACCTTGCAATGTCAGGGTTGAAGGCTCACGTGTTCGGAATTCCAATGACAATGTGGGCTGAACTCCAGAAGAACGAGGTGCTGGGAAATGCATTCAGTGGCTGATACTTGTCAGGTCTCGGAGTCACTCATCAGAACAAGGGGACCTCTGTTTATTTTGGAAGGCTGTGAAAATGCATTTATCCAATATGTCGTTCATGAAAAATGGCCAGGGCCTGCAGCATCGTCGAGAACTGGTAACTCAATGGTGACTAGGTTACCTGACATCTACTTGTTGCCTCGTGATATCTTGCTCAGTACTTGACAAGATGAACCTTCCGCCCGGCCTTCCGCAACCTTCGCCACGCGCCGCAATTTTTGCGCAATGCGTCAGCATAAGTCCATCTAAAGAAGACCAAGAGGAAAACTAAAGAAAGTGGTTTCTGCAAAGGACTCGCATTGACTGCCAGGCGAAGTGGACGCCAGTCGAAACACAATCATGCTCACATACGTGTGAAGAACTGAGCAGTTGAGCCATGCACCAAGAAGAGGTCACCCTGGTGCCCAAAGTGCGTGTGATACTTGATCCTTAGTTGAAGCTGCCGTCTTTCTGAATTACGGCGGTTCCAAGCTCTGACAGAACGGAATCCAGTGCTAAACCTGAGTTGTTGCAAGGCTCAAGTTAGGATGGTCCAGCAACTGCAGAATTGTTATCTCGGTCTCCATTTCCTTCACCGTATTCGCATCTTTGTCATGCTGCGATGCGACTTCGTTCACCTGGCTCAACACTCGTACGTCACTCTGCTCTGCAAGCAGCTGGGACCCCACATGAATCCACTGAGTATAGCCTGCATCTACTACTTGCGCTTTGATCCAGAACGCGTTCTGCCAACTTTTCTCCGGCAGAATGATCTGTCATCACTTCCAAACGTTGCGGCCAGGCTGCCTGCTTGATTGCAACCACTGCGCCTATGCTCAAAACAAATTGCAGGGTAGCAGCCTAAAGGGGGTTCCGTTCATTCACGCCATGAGGCCTTGCCGGCAGACGGTATACTAGTGACTTGGGTCTTCCCATATTCCTGCTACCTGTCTGTTTGAGGGGAATGCTTGAGTAGGAGGCCTAGACAGAGCATTGAAACATTGAGGAAGGCTGGCGTTTTCAAAGTCCAGTCACATGCACAAGGCACAGAAGCACCTATGAAGTGAATCCAAACCTGGACTATGTTCGCAAAAAACAAGACAAACAAGTTGCGATTTCTAACCACCCAAGTGTATGGCAAGAGGGCAGGGGGGCGAAGACCGCAGAAATGCTGACTGCATCACCAGCAGTTCTTGAGCTGCCATGGAGCACACATCTCCAGTAAAAGCTGAGCGACCTGTTTCCAGGTAGGTTGCTTCCTTTGTTGGCACGACTATTGAAAGCCAACAAACTGCTAAGTGCAGCATGAGTTGCCGCGTCCTGCAGTTTAGTGGGCCATGGCCCAAGTAGTAAGTCTATGTAAGTCTTGACCAAACTAATCGGCCCTGCAACTGCGACAGTCAGGGCTCAGTGACTCGCGAGGACTTTCCTCGAAAGATACATCGCCCGAGCCTTGGTTGCGCGTTGCTTTGGGCTGTGCAGAAGCTGCACGGGTTTGCGGATTTTGCGGTAGGTGTCCATGGCTTCCAATACTCTACTATAGGATCTGATGTTGACACTACAGGGGTGAGAGTTCCATCCAAAATGGAGCTGATGCATTCTCCTGGCACTTTGAGATACAATCAATATCTGCGGGGAAACGCCATTGCCTGGCATCTGCTTTGCAGGGATCACGTTGCTCGGGGGCGTCATCCTGATAGCACTTAACTATTAAGAAAACTCCGGGAAAGAAGTGCGAGTCGGGAACTTCTGTCTACCGCCATCCATTGCAGCCTTGACCCTTTCTAGAATTTAGAATTCCTGTCGGAGATGCACTATCCAGGAGAACGTGAGCAGATCTACATGCCAGCAACATCCAGCGAGCATGGAAAGCATAGGAAAGCTCACTTTGTCCAAGCCGCTGATAGGAAGTCAGATCATTCATCGCCAGCCGGAGGAGGGGGCCATGGTTTAGAAAACATGTGGCCCCAACAAGGAAAAACGAATCTTCAGAGTTTACATACCGGGTATGCATCAAGTGCTTTAGTGCTTTGGGATTCTGTGGTTGGATGCGGTTTCGGTGCGTAGAGCCGTGCTAGCGGGCCAGTTGAACAAGGCGCTTGGTGGATGCGCGGTACTCTGCACGTTACGTATCCCACGTCGCTAGTCTTTTTTGCAGCCAGCTTTAGTTGTAATCAGAGTCTGTTTTGCCGGGAACATGGACATGATTCTACCATAATGGTAACCTTAACCTGCTTACTTAAACCAACAAAATACTGCGGTCAATAGCAGCGCAGCATGCAGAATCTCTTAACTTTGTGCTCCACTCTGCATCGGTGAGGACAGCTCACCAGTCGGGGATTGTCTGACCTTCCCTGCATGTGGCAAAGCTGTAATCGAAGCAAGACACAGGGCCCAAAACGCAATATGAGTACAGATCACGACAAAAGCCCCGTCCAATAGTGTGACTTTGTATGACATACTGACCTTTTATGGGGTGCTTACTTGTGCATCAACAATGCCAACACCGATCCTTTGAGCATCTTCCACCCACTCAGGCAGGCCACGTTCAAAGAAGCATCACAGAGCCTAAGAACCCACCATCATCCACCATCTACCCACATCCCAGTTTTCCCGCTTTCTTCACTACGGGAGCAGCTGGCGCGGCAGGAGGCGGACAAAAGCCGACTCGCCCTCGACCGCCTGTGACACTTCAGCACTGAAGCAGGCCACGGAATCATCCCAGAATATCTGCCCAAACTTTCTGCCAAGCGAAGGCCTCTAGGAGCCCAGCATCTCACCAAAGTCACACAATAAAACCTTGTTGTCCAACATTGGTGGCTGCACTGCCTGCTTGGAAGGCTCCCTGCCCAAATGACCCTTTTTGAGGAATCTCCCGACTTGGCCCCTCCGCACCAGCAGCCGCCGGCCGTCGGGCAAGGACCCGCGCAGCGTGGCCCGGCGCCCTTCGAGAGGCCGCAGCCGAGAGGGCCCTAGCAGCTAGCACTGCACCGAGGTGGTCTCAGGCTCCGGTAGTTTGGGCTTAACCAAAAAAGGACCCTTGAAGTACCATGCCAGAGATTGCATGGCATATGATCGGCATACCGTTTGCTCATTCCTCTTCAGGCCTGCACTGAGGCCGCCCAGGCAGACAACGGAGCCAGGAGGCAATTCGACCCTGTCAGACTCCGTCCAATTGCAGAGGCTTTGGCTGGTGCAGGCGCTCTTCTTAGCTCCGGCTGAAATTTCTTGATCTTATTTTCGCTGGTGAGCCAAACCTTGCAGCTAATGCAGCAAAACGTGTCCCAGTCCGGGAATCGGCCTCTCGAGCATTTGCTCGACCGACTCCAAAGCTCAAAGGCACAACTCAGCACTCCAGCCTCAAGCCTGTTGCCAGTTAAGGACTCGCCTGTTGGGGCTCACGCGCTGGACGGGTTCCTCTTGAAGGCTATCGCTCTGGCACCTAAGCGGCAGGCATGGGTGTGCTCTCCATGTGCACATGATTGAAGTGCTGCCGCTCTCAGAAAACATGGAGCTGCATGAGTCCACCAGAATTGCTACTGGGCCCCTTGTCATAGATGCATGCTTGCAGGGGTGCTGAGGCTCGAGCTCGCGCACGAAGTATGCCTATAGTTCTGAATGACACTCGCAAAGAACGAATTCAGTATATGAGCTTCTTTGCGAGGGCTTCAGCTTCAGGCTTGGGGCTTCAAAAGCTTCAACAGCTTTGTGGTCTCGAAAGCTCCGCCCGACTGTGGAGTATAATCTTGCCTGAGATGCTCGCAGCAACTGACGAAATATCGACGTCAGCTCAAACTGCAACAAAATCTCCCCAGGTATGTAGGGAAGCCATGCGGTCTTTATAGAAGAAGTTCCGGATCTTGCTCATCACATCTACCACTTAGATCACGCAAAGGAGCCCATTTTGAATGACAGAGGGGCTGCCCAGAATCTGGATGCATGACAGTTGCTCCAGCACCACCATCCGAGCTCAATTCCATGCCGACTAACGTGGCTGGGACACCTGAAGTGTAGGAACACGCGACGCGCCTTTCTGGTACTTTTCCCATAGTGCAACACGTCGCTGGGTTCAGTTTTCTCGTTCAAGCTGAACTCAGGTGGTTTTGGACAGGCTTCCTGCTTTTCGCGGCGGGTCTGGAGACTTGGGTCTTGAAGGAAATCTATGCGCGGGAATGCAGGATGCACACGCACTATTGTACAGGAGGGACGTTCAGGTTTCATCGCTCAGCGTTCGAAGCTGCACCAAGACAATCCTGATACAAAAAAAGTAAGTCTAGCATGTGAGCTGCGCCGGTCTTGCCTGCGCTCTGACCAAATCCAGCTTGAAGGAGCCGCACGTGTAGGCCTAGCAAGGCATCTAACATGTGAGTCTATGTTGTCTATGAGTCTCTATCTAAAATCATGGGTCAGCAAGGTCAGGTCATTGGGGGTATCATGGAGCGTCCACGAGCGTCGCTGAAGAAGGACCACCTATCGGAAATTTGCAGATTGCCACGTAGAAAGGGACTTTTGTTCCTATGAGCGATGATGTTGTGATGTAAGGTGGGTAGTTTACACCTCTCACGAAATACTGGGCCTGCGAGTAGAACAGGAGCTGCCATACCAACGCTGGATCAAGCTGAGAAAAGAAGTCCAAAGGTGCAGTTGAAAGCACAGGGAGAACCACACCTTGAACGAAAGCTGAGGGAGGCAACAGCCTGCGCTCACCTGTCTTGATCCTGCAGGCCACGTTCAGATCATTGGTTGCTCATGACGTCCTGAGCTTGGGAAAACACCATCTCTTCCTGATCCCTGCATTGGCAAATCATGGCGGTCCGAATCCAGTACTTTTCCTCTGCAGCCTCGAATCTCTCCTTGGTGCCACGGACCGGTTCGTCTCTGGGACGGTGCTGTAGTCGCGTTCAAAACAATGGGTGCTTCATCTGCTATCCATGTAGCAAGTATAATGACTACAGAATCCATACCGAATTCTTATTGGCTTCTTCAGGCACGGCCACTTCCCCGAACAAATTCCACCAATGGTGACTCAACCGCCTATGCCTTGGCCATGCGCAGGGTCCATCATTTAGGTATGCCAAAGCTCAACCACTCCGCAATTTTCAGGGCCGTCCAGGTCGCCGAGCAGGAAGATCTCACATTGGAGCTAGTGTGAAACAAACCTTGCGTGTAGAGAAAACTTGAAAACATACCATGCCGTTGCCACCTTTCCGCTAACATGTAGAAAGTTAGTCTTGAGCGCCTGCATTAATGCTGGCTTACCTGATGGTGTGCAATACTCCAGCACGGATTTTCCCAACTATCCACAAGCGGAAACAGATCCCACACATCGACATGCCGGCCCAGCTAGCTGCAGCAGATACTTGACAACCTCGCAAGGCCCCATACCTGCATCCCATCGGGGATTCGCGATGGCTCGGCCTTGCAGAGGACAGCCAGCGCTCTTTGCTTTTCTGAAATGGTTGGCAAGATTGGGGCCTTCAGATTTTTGCGCCAGGGCGTGGGGCGGAAGGGTGCATATGGCTTCCGGAATCCCTAAGGCTGCACAGTGTTTGAAGCTTGCAGGTGCGGACTTGGCTCACATGATGCACTCTCTTCTCTTTCTGCCGCTCAGGCACGGTCTAGCCTAGCTCTAACCCCATGCCATGCAGAGGCCAGATACCGACCCGCACAAGGGCACTTGCCAAAGCAATCCTTCAAGTGAACATTCCAAAGCGATCAGCAAACAAGTGGTGTAATGGTTCACGGCCTGTGCTGGCTGACTTGGCAGGCAGCCGGAAAGAAACTCCTTCATGAGTTCGATGACCTGCAGCAATGACAGGACCCATGCAAGCTGCCAGAAACAAGAGCCCCCTACATAATCCCAAACACAGCGGAAGCGCCCAAAAAGGGACCCCTGATTTCTGGAAATCATTTTTTGAATTGAAGGCTGAGACCTTAAAGACGGTGGACTGAAGGTGGTGTCGTCTTAATGCTCTGAGTTCATAAAATCGGAGGACCCGCGCCTCACCAGAGATCTCATGGCGCAGCTCCGGTAGCCTTGAAATCTGCTCCAAGTAACCAGAGTGTTGCGCGCAAAGCAAGCTGAACATCCGCCTTCTGATTGGATTCGTGAGTTGTGCTGTGGCGCAATGTTTTGCAGGGAATCCTCGCCAACTTCATGAGGTGCCCAGCAGCGGGAGCGCCGCAACAAAATGCTGTGAAGGAACCAGGATCCCTCGCTCCGAAAAAAAAAATACAGGTCCTGCTTTTTGATTCGCGGACGTAGGAGGATGGACCGGGTCATAGCCGGTCCAAACACAGGCAGTGACAACTTGTTTCATACTTGACGATGTGGATGGCGTGAGCATGGCTTGCGTCACAGAACCTGGGCATGCACGGCTGTCTAAGGAACAACCCTATAAGGCCAGGGCACTCCACGTAGCGCAACTGCCGCATGCCTAGCTCCAGGAGCCTGTCCTGCACTCGACTCATTCTGTGTTTTTTGCATTTTACTTCTCGAGACCTTCTGGAAAACTGGAAAACCCTGACAGGTATAACTATAATATAAGGCTTGGCCTTACACCGAAGGTTTAAGAAACATTCTTGAACTTTCTGGCAGGCGGTGCGGAGTTAGCTACGCGAACGCATTGCAGACTAGGTTATGACGGTCGGGTCTCGAAAATAAAGCCTTGGTGCCCTGAACTTGTTGCTTCTGGGTTTTTGGGTACACTGTCCTTGGCAATGCGTGTGGTTTCCGCCGTCACCGTCCTACGCATGGGAGCGCATTAATTTGTATGTGTGTCCGTTGTGGTGCTTGTCCCGGCATCGAACCCTATGCGCACACTTTGTTCTAGTCAGCATACACAACGAAACATGTAAATGAAAATCGCGTTCCCCGAAAGCAGCCTCGCTAAAACGTGCAAGCGAGATCCTGTCACAGCCACCGGCGACAAACAGAATAGGCACTTCCCGCATGGCATCTTCGAGTTGGAGATCCCAAGGCACTCCGCCTGAAGCTCATTCTGAGCTTGGACGTCTCCGCTGCTATTACGCAGTTACAGAAGTGCCCACAAGCTAGAGCTGCTTCCGACAAGAATTGCACGACTAGAGTCCAATTTTCAGCAGGTCGTAGACCACAAAGAGAACATGTCTTAATCCTGAAACTGCATGGAGACGCAGCAATGAATTCATCGATGCCACCAACACGAAATACGGCATCCCCCCATCCTGCACTCATTCTGAGCTTGGCCAACTGCCTGCAGGCTCCTTCCTTAAGATTTGCACACGAAGGCTGATTTGACCGCGCAGCCAAGAAGCCACAAATCACCGCGAGGCCAGCGCAGGGTCTAGTCGCCTTCAGAAAGAATTTAATGTACGGCGTGGCATGAGAAAGCAGACTTCGCCCACCAACCTCGCTTAGGCAGCCAACGTGTTTAACAACGGGCAAAAAGGAAGACCTGCAAAAAAGGAAAATTCCCAAGCTGAGCAGGCACCTGAAAATGTGTCCTGAGTCCAATGCCAGACCAGAAGATACCCTGAAGCTACCAAGCTCGGGACCTCCAGCCCTGTCAGGGCAGCAGCCATGGAGCCTTGCGAAAAGCCTGCGAAGACAACCTGTGCAGTGGTAACTTGGCTGGGATGCGGTCTTCAGCGCTACAGGGTAATTAGAGAAATTGCTTGTCAGCGACAATGGGACACGTTGTTTTTTTCACTGGAGAAGTTTAATGCTGTTTATGTGTCAGGTAAGGGCTCATTGCGTGCAGGTCTGAGCCTGTACACGCATCAGGAAATGTCAGTCAACCTTGAGCTGCTGGCCCCGCAATCCGTGCCGATTTGTTCGGCTGAATTTCAGGATGCGGCACTTCGTCCTTACAGCTATCTATCTGCTGGAGAACTAGAACCTATGGCCTGGCCGCTTGCCGACCCTGTTGCTGGTCTGCTTCCTGTTCCCCAAGCTGTTGGCCCTGTTGTCTTCATTCAGCCCCACCCCCCGGCAACAGGGCGTATAAAGTTCGAGCAGATTTCCTACGTTGCCATGCTCCTCTTGATTGCTCACTGGATGCATCTGAATCTAATTATCTAATTTTAGAGCCCGGCCTGTGACATCTTCAGACCAAGCTTTCGGCATTCTGCCCTGCCCAGCATTTGCAGGAAACCAAAAGCAACTACCCACCAACTGGTACAACACCACCATAGATCCTTTGATGCAAGGCTATTCTGAGTTCTTAGTGGCATCAACAACCTTAGCAGCAGTGACTTTCAAAAACCGAACAGAGTTGGCACCACTTGAGCGCAAGGCCAGCTAGGCTCCGGCTGCTTTCCACGAGTACTCGCTACGACTGCTAACATTCAGCAGGAGAAGTAGGAGCAATTAGATTAATGATGTGCTTGCGGGTGACGTTAACGGTCAACAACTAGCAACCGGTAAATGGCACATCAGATTTGGTGAGCAGTCCCCCATTTCCACAGTGCTACGCACACTCCAGAAGGTGGCATCAGCGCTGCCATACTCATGAGGGGCGAGGGTCTGGACTTGGCCAATTAGAAGGCAGCGGAGCTCGTAGATTCGATCGTCAAACTGTCCTCCCACACATGCGAAGCTTGCAACCGGATGCTTAATGTGTAGCGTGTTTCGTACTTTCCCAAATGAAGAAACAATCAAGTTGATTTAAGTTGTCATCAACGCGCAGAGGTACGAACACCAGTAATCCTGTTCCAACATCAAAGCTGATATGCCCATTGGAACTGAAGAGGCTACTGCTTGCCCATTGCACGTTCGCCACCTCTTTGCAAGACCACGAAGCTGCACAGTCACCTAACTAATCTCTTATAATCTCTTGCTCTGCACCGTGCGGGAGGTCAAGAATTTCCAGTTGCGTTGGCATCCAGCAGATTTACCGGTTGCAAGCGCATTTCCCCCCATCTTGGGAGTAAGTTAATCAGTCCTGCGCTGTCTGTTTCATACCAGGAGCTGCGGCCATGCCTGACGTTGTTAGCCCTGATTCACAAGTCATGTGCTGATTCCTCTGCCGTGCCTGATCATCCTAGTTCTAACTCTACTGACTCTTACACAGTGGGGAAAACTGCCAGAAACAATGAATCCTGAGAGCTGCTGAATAAGTACTCATTCTTCGGCGCAGTGGGCAGCCAAAAACGAGCTGACGGCATCGAGGAGGCAAGGGCGGACACCTCTGGTCAGAGGCTTTGGGGTTTGACGACAACTGGACTGGGTTGCATTCGAGGTTCGCAAAATCGGTGCATTTTGGAGGATGACAGGATCATGCTCCAGCGTTTTGTCGCAGTGGTGCAAGCAGCCAAGGCAGCGACGACGGGCAACATGTTGTGGCCCGTGTCACCGCGCCCGTGGAGAAATACAACCTGTGCCGACACTCTGAAGTCACAAATCTAAGGCAACCGTGAAAGGAAACCTCGCATCTGCCAGAATGAGCCCCAAGTCTACGTACTCCATGTGCCGCAGGGCCTTTTCCTTTTGGCAGGCGGGCCGAGGACTGGGAATTCCTAACAGTGCGACGACAATATTTCTGAGATAGGGGTAAGTACTTGAGTCTCGCCCGAGCACCAGCGAGGTTGCCGGGCCCAGCAAAGGACCGAAGCCTTCATCGACATCCTGAAGGTGCACCTGGCAAGATTTCTCGAATCTATTTAAGAGATCAAAGAAATCTTGCTCCATTTCCACAAAGCAAGCTACGTGGACCTGCCTACTTGCCAAAACATGTCCCGACTCTCCTTTGTCTGGAGGACCATCAATACCACAAGACGATCCCTGAGCAGCTTCCTCACCATGGAGAGGGCAGCAAGTTTTGGAGGACCGAATCTGCCGTCATTCATCAGATCTTGAAGAGAGCTGACCAAAGCTCCGGATACGGACTGGCAATCTTAAAGCAATGCCCCAGGATCTTAAAAACAAAGCTGGTCACCCAACACATCGTGACATCGTGCATCCCAGCCTTGAGCATTGCCAATGCGCTTCCGGCGCGAACAGCAAGCCATCCGCGGGTAACCAGCTACCCCCAAATACAAGGATTGGTCTGCTGACTTGGTCGCCTTGAGGGACGGTGATCATTGATTTAACTGCCCCGGGCACACTCAGAACCTTCATGGCGTCAAGCCTGTAGCAGTGCTAGGCTCGGGAGACTGAGCTGGAGTACCTTGCTTTGTGGCTCACGTATGCTGACGTGTTATCGTGCTCATGGAAGCTTGCGACTTCCGTGCTGGGTGTAGGGCCTGCCGTCAAGTTCTGAAAGCTGAGGAATCAGAAAACAAAACGTGCTCTCCACTTCCGCTGCTTCAGCAACGACATAGTCCGACATGGTTCAAGCATGGGCTTGAGGCTTCAGCTGCAGTCGCGGTCATGTCAATTCTGGCACTGTAGAGTGACGCAAGGCAAGATCTCAACTCCCGCTGCTAGGGCCATTCTGTCTTGCAGTAGCCATACTGGTAGTATATCATGATTTCAAGGCCTTCAAGCTAGCTTTGGCTTGGTGATCACCAGACAAGATAAATGAAGATGTCCCAGATTAGTAGCCTCACTTACTCTTTGATCCTGGGACTCAACCACACTTTGAAAGTAATTCTGCGTCCAGACAGGCTCACGATTCAAGATCCATACCGACACTCCAGCAAGCAGTATTATGAGCGTAGGGGGCAGCACGAAAATTCCAGCACCTGTGCAGGTTTGCTTGGCTTGGAGCCCCTTCCCTTGACACCTCCACGGACTCCAAGAGCAGCTCCAGCTCCTTTCCTTTGCCGACCAAAGCTACCGGACAAGATCTGACGCTCATGAAGCTCTTGGCAACATCAGAAAGGTTCACAACAAGAGAGTTTCTGCACATTGTGCGCAAAAAACGGAACTCAAGTCGATGGCCAAGCCATTCTAAGAACAAATGCTCCCGTCAAAAAAGAGCCGAAGCTCTGCGGGCCGGACTGAACAACTTACAACTTTTCTCAGACGCGTCCTGGGCCAAGTCGCTCTGGTGGGTGATTGGCTGCACAGGCTTAGAAGCCACCTTTTCTCTTGGGCACGCTCACGTTGTTAGGCAGACAGCCCACCCCAGCTCTTGAAAAGCTGTAGACCACAGCCCCGACAAGTTCCGCAAAAAAAAATCTGTGTGCGGGAGAACGTATCCCATCCTGAACATGGAAACCTCTTGCATGAAAATAGGAAAAGTAATGCAGTAATACTTTGCAAATCAAAGCAAGAGCATGCAAGAGTCCACTCTGCCGACTTCGATGACTCCCCTTTGCTTGCAAGCCCCACGTCCCTGCATCTGAGTTTCTCTTCCCGTGATAGGTCCGGACGAACAAATCCACTGTGACATCCTGGGCGGCTGACTTTGCTTTTAGAAGCGCTCATCGAATTTGGTAAAATTGGTCATCTTGCTACAATTGGACAAAAATCGTCTCACCAGTCAGGGTCATTCATCGCGGTTGTGCTTCCAGCTCCCTGGAGATGAACACCGCTAGGTCTCCGTTTGCTAGCAGGCAACGGGGCGCTTTGCCGGATTTCCTGACACAGGCCACGACCCCCACGTCATTACAGAAAAGCATGCAGTGCGGGTCTGAGGGTCCAGAGCTCAAGGTGTTGCTAGGCAAGGGGCATGCGAATATTCCGCTCGAAGCGTATTCACAGTATAGACATTGCCACATCCCTTCACCCCAGGACAACTCCAGACAAAGAGACAGCAACTGGGCCGTTTTGGCTTGAGCTTGTCGGACATGTCGGACAGAGGGGCTCTGAACTTCGGGCGAAGCGCTTCAGAGTAAAGACAAAAACAGATCGATAAACCAAAAGCCCCATGCCCATGCATGCAAAGAGTCTTCGCGCACCCAATGCCGAAACTCAACTGCTCTACAGGCAAAATCGACCAGGCCTGCAGAGTCAATCAGCGATGCACGATATCTCGGCGGGGCAGGGCGAGGCCAAGCATAGGCCTGGGAGCTGTCTCCAATGGATACATTCCGTCAATCTAGTCACCTAGTTCTGGATGCTTGCTGCTCACGAAATGCTTCCTGCAGATTGGCAAGTAAAGCAATCCTTGGGCTCACGGCTTTGGTCGAATGTTTAGCGCGGCCCGTGATGCAAACTAGCGATAGCAATGCAGAGCATCCACAGTACTGCTTCCCAAAAATCTCTGTCGTTGCCCATCAAATGGTCCTTGCGTCCCTGGGCAGGTGACATCACTCTCTTTTTATGTCTTCCAACCAACTATGAAGAGCCAGGCAACTGTGGCCTGTGACTGTCAGTACTAGGCCTGCTAGGCCAGAACTGTGAAGCATCAGCCCAAACACGCCCAAGTACGATTGCCTCTATGGGTTCCGGGCTTGTACAGAGTCTCCTGTGATCGGCTAACAGGCATTTCTGAATGACACGACTAGAGACAGAGGGCTCTGGATCCTCACCCGGTCGAAGGCATTCAGGCAGCCAGGTTGCTCTTGCACCCAGGGCTGCAGATCAAAGATGCAACCGCTCTAGCGCGGTGCTTCAAAGACGAAGGAAGCAATCGGCCCCTGAATCTGGATGCTGGTTTCCCAACATCCTCTTCGCAAGAAACGATGCAGTACACGCCTGCCAGCATCGATGCTGCGAAAGTCCTGCAGAGGCTCCAAGCACGCCAAGTGGACATGAATCCATGTTCGTGTGAACAGTCAGGCAAGCACTGACAGGCCAAGAAGGTTGCTCTTTTGACTTCATGGTGTAAGCCCGGTTCCATTGCCTCTCTGGCAACTAGGCTTTGGCAGAGTCAGCCTTTTATTTGGGTAGAGGACAGGAGTAGTCAGAGTCAAGGAAGACATCTGCCAACCACCATGTGGGCACTCGTCAAAACTCCTTGCCAACTCCCATGCTTATCTTTCGGGGGGAGTTGGCACCTTATACGAAAACACTGAGAAGACTGAGGTATGATTTCGCTCACGTTATACCTCAACTGACTCAGGTACACCTGATTCTATCCTGATTCCGCATATCAAGATAGAAGGGGCCTTCGAACGGGTCTCACATCACTACACGAGTTTTGACGATTTCTCTTCACATGTGTGTTTCCGGCGAAGAGGGTACCCCCAAAAATCTGTTGGGATAAGGGCATGTTTCGTATACGTGTCACGATATGTATGCCAGAAATGTACATATCAGAGTATGGTTCAGGGTGGTCAAGCGTGCCGTTTCGTTTGCAGTATTGACCACTCATCCCATCTGCTTCTGCAGTGAGACCGGAATCTTGATGCTCGGTGTTCGAGACTGCAAAAACTTCTTCAAAAGGCCTGTGTGATACACCCATACGTATCCATGCAGCATGGCCCAACCCTGTAATCTTACAAAAAACATCTTCACCGAACAGAAGAATCGCACCTATAGTCCACAATAATCCAGATTCAGGCCAAGTGTTCACCTGCACTTGAGCCATCTATGAGGCTTCTGGTCCTCTCCTCTTGCCAGCAGGCTCCAACTTGGCATTTTCCCCACGGAGTATGAAGCTCAGCAAATAGAAGTCTCTTGCATTCAGTAACGCTCAACTCAAGGGGTGCTGAAAAAAAACCTTCGAATAAGCTAATTAGGCTCACATGCGTTGGATGTTACAGGCCACATTTGGAACAAAGGCTGACGTGCAAATTGCCAGGTCGCAGTTTTCAGAGCCCTGCCACACAGAACCAAAGAACGGAGCACCCCACAATCCGCATTATTTGGGATCCTTGTGACTCAAGACCCTCCAAGCTTCCTTTTAGATGCAGAACGTAGTTGCCTTTCAGTACGAAAAAGCTGTGTGAGCCATCACCAGCTGGGCTCTGTGACTCCTGGGACCTGAAGGCAAAACCGGTCAACCTGAAACTAAACGGGCACTTCCAGAAAGTCCAGGTCCCTCAATGCACATGTCCGTAGAATAGGGAGAACAGCTTCCGATGCAGAATGGTAGGACCACAATGTTGCCTATCCTCATGCGATAGTTCCTGGAAACGCTCCAGTATTCCGTGCCGAAATCAGGGCTGGGTACCCCACTTAGAAGCACAAGCGTGGGTGCAGCGCTGGGTATAACATGCAACTGCCGATACCCTCACGTCGCAGCTTCCGTGCACATGTTTACTACATGCAGAATTCTGCGCAATTTGGCCATGCCTCAGGCATGCTGACTTTGGAGGGATTGGTAGAAACATCGGGAAACGCCCAGTGATAGCGTGACCTGGGGTCTGTCTCTGGTTGTCGTAAGAGATGCAGGCTTTCAGACAACAAGCACAAACAGTTGTTAAACCCAGCAATGGACATTCCCCAAAACGGAGCGGACAGACGCTCCTGAGCCGCAGGTTGAAATAGGCGTCTAGTACTAGGCTTTGTACCTACCCACACTGAGCAGATAAAGAACTACTACATGCATTTTCTGCTGCCATGTTCTACCACCTCCTCCGTTAAAGGCAAACGTTTCCTAGCCCTATGCCACAGACGCGTCAGAAGCAGTGTCAATCTCGTGCTCCATGTTTCCTTTCGTTTTCAGGCAAGGCGAGATACCTTTCTGGGCTCTTCAAGGCTGAACCCGCTTTCTCGTATAAAGTGTCAGCTGAAATCAATTATGGAGATGGGACACACGCTGGGTACTTTTCTGGGTGTAGATGATCTTCTGTAGATGGCTCAGTCCATCAACTCTTACAGGATTAATAGGGTTCCAAATTCCAGGCCGCTAATGTTTGGGAGGGCTTGGCAAATCAAACGCAACATCAAAGGTCGTCTCTGAAAAGCGCAAATGCCAACATGAAGTCCAAGCATTCTGAAAGGCATCTGGTGTGCAGCGGCATCGAAAGCTGGAACAGAAACAAGCAGGCCCTCGTGCATCCCTCTTGCACCACAACTGCCGTGAAACCCCGCGCACAAAGACTTTCAGCTATCTCAGGCAGAGCCCAAGTTGCTGCATGTTTCTCTCCCGGAGCTCAAGTACTTAGATAACACCTGCTGCCATGGATTCCGAGGTTGTGAGACTCGAAGATCCAGCCGATGTGTTCATCGGAGCTGCAGTTGATCCCTGTGAGGATCGCCAGCTGATCCTTGTTTGAGGCTTTGGCATCGCGAGTTGAGGAAAGGGCGTGGGTAGCCCGATGGCGACAATGATACCGGTCACTACTAAGATGCCACACTAACGGCAGTTCTTTGATGCTGACACAGCCTGTTTGTCACAGTCAAGCTTGCGCGTCCAGTCCTCATACCTGGTATGAAATGACAATTTCCATTTCATAGATGACACGAGTTGGTCATTTCATAGGCCGATACTGTAGGGGGATCCTGGAGCTACGGACTCTTGTTGGTTCTAAGCTGCAAGGCTGCGTACAGCTAAGAACAATTGGCATCTGAATCCATCAGCCCAAACCGTAAGGCCTAAACTTTGAATCCGCAAGCACGCCAAAACAACATGGCACCAGGACTGCATCAGCCAAAGCTGCCTTGATTTGTTTCAGCTCCACCTCCATGTAGGCCTTGTGTAGCCAAGAACACTTGCTCATTTTGCTTGGGCAGAGCTTCACGGAGCCTAATCTTCATACAGTTGTCAAAGCAGCCGGGCAAAGGGGCTTGAAGCTGTCCTGACCCCATCAAGAACATCAGCGGATTGCCATGTCTAGGCTGAGAATCAATGACTGCATACCAAAGCATCTGTTGCATTCGAACATATGCTGGGATTTGGGATGTCCAACCCTGGTTGTGCCAGGCGGCGTTGAACTTGCCCTGGGTCTTCATCAACCATTGTTGGTCATTGATGATCCTTGGAATCAGATGGAGAAGGGCTTCTTGTCAAATGACTGCTCCAATGGTGAAGAAGAATACAGGGCTATAGGGCTGGAGGTCTACAGTGCTCGGGGAGGTGCTGCTTTAAAAAGCGTTTGACTTGTGTGTCTGTCGGAAAGTGACACGGATGGTGCTTCTCAAGCAATATTGTCTGCAAGGGCTCTTGCCTTCCAAGCACTCGATTAAAGAACAAGGCACATCTCTGGAGGCCCCGCAAATGCAAGGACTCTGCAACGAAGCTGCTTTCCAACATCCATCGCTGTCGCTTGGCCTCGCAGTCGCAGACAGCCCATGAGGAACCTCAGTTTCGATTTTGACTAGGAAACTTGTTGCAAGTTAGCCCACTGTGATCCCACAGTTGAGGTCTTGATTATATAGAATTCCTGGTTGGGCCTTGCAATATGGGGGCTCGTGATCAGCGTGCAACTAAGGTGAGCGTGCAAAATTGGCCTGGCACCACTTGGGTGCCTTGCTCAAGCACCATGTTCAGGAGAGGGTGGTCAAACACCGCAAGAGCATTACGGGAAATCCTCAGAGAAAATATTGCTTCATATTGTGCCGGCCAACTCTTCAATCTCCACGGCGCCGCCCGAATCCTTGTCCAGCAGCCTGGTGTTTTAATTCACACAGGACTCGCATGGCACAGCCTTAATTGGTAAAAGAGCAAATGGGTCCCCTGTACAACTGCACGCTGAATCAGATCGCTGCGGCGTTTTGAAATTTAAATGGCTTGCCCTGTCGCCCTTCGTCTCTTTTGCCCTTTCCCTCTCTTGCTCGCGCTCTTCTTTCGTTTAAGCGTTGAGGAAATCAGTTTGCTCTCCCTTCTGGGATCACCCCCATATACTTCTTGGGTGAAAGCCCAGGCAAATACACCACAAGGACTAGGACCTTCTGTTGAACGCAAACAGTCGGGAACACAACTACTTGCCAACAAATGAATTTCTACTGCAGGTCGCTCCTCACCTGCACCAGTGGCTTGTAATTTCGAGAGAAAACTCTTTTGGAGTGGCGGCCCTATTGTGGCAAGAGTTAAGGGCACGGCCCGGGCACCCGGGCACCCGGGCGGGCACACGTCCACAATGGTCTCTGCCACTGCTTGCCGAGCATACTTGAACACCCGAACTCCCGTAAAGCTTCTTCTCAACAATGATTCGTGGAAGCACTTAAGAGAAACGTATGCCGCTTCTTCCACACTGGTAAAAACAAGAGTCAACAATGATTCGTGGAAGCACTTGGGAAATTGCAGATTCACAGAAACACTATCACTATCCACGGTAGCTGAGACATCATAGCTCAGGACGAAAAGCGACGGCAAGGAAAAAAACAAAGAAACAAATGCCACCAGGCTGCTTGAAGAAGGACCATGCCTGGACTGTTAGAGTTTTGTTCTCGGCATTGGCCCGGCAAGTAATCAAGTTGGGTCTGGACCCTTGTTGACATACCTCACCTTCTTGCCCAAGCCATCATCAATGCTGGAAGATGTTACATGCTGTTGCGGCTCTGAGACCAGACAAGCCTAAAGAGTCGTCCCAGAGTTAGCCAAGAGGCATCCCAAACGTCCAGCCCGAGGGTCTGGAAGTACTCCCCTGAAACTGCGGCTGGCTTGACACTGCATGACAGAACACGGCATTCCTTCAGACATGGGCTTAGCCAGATTAAGTAATAGCACAGGCGTTCCATCTCCTACTCTTATTGTGGGAATGCGTGTGCCTGAACTCACCTCTTGTAGAAAAAGGGGCGTTGACTGAGGCTACAAAACATTGTAAAATTGGGACGGGATCCCAAAGCTCAAGAGCCACAGAAAAAATAGGCGCAGGCTTCCAATTAGTGACTGTGAGTTGAGGCAGTTGAAGTCTGAAGCGCAACAGAAAGCAGCTCTGTCTTCTGCAAAGGTCGAAAAGCTTTAGACCCTGAGACCCTGAGTCTGTAAGCTCTGAGCCAAGGAGCCCTTACTTCTTCAGGATGTTAGTACGTTGCATCTGACTGTGCTTTTTCATGCAATGTTGACAAGGAGTACGACTGCTGACACTGTACGGCAGCCCCGGGCACGTACTTCCACAGAATTGATCTTGTCCTGGAACATTTTGAAGGTGATGACACCTCGGGTCAATACAGCTTCCATAAGAATCAGCTTCAAGACATCACAATCCAGAACAGCAAACACGCCAACCTTGCCTCAACTGGACATCAAGAATGCGCGCCGCAACTTGCAAGAAACATGCAACAAGATCTTTGTACTAGTCACCCAACACTTGTGCAGATGAGCACGCACTGCGTAGCTTGCCCCACACGTTAACCACGAACATGAATGGATAGCACGTCTGCAAAAAAAAGACACTGCAAGGCACCATCATCGGCTCCAAACTTGCTGAAGAGGGTGTTGATCTTACCAAGGTGCGCCTGGGAAATTGAGCAGAAGAGCTCAAATCTACACAAGGATCTTGCCGTATCATTGTGTCGCTGCCGACGACGCTGAGTACAAGACATGTCAATGCGTGTGCATGCTTGTTTGCTTGGTGAGTTCAGCGCGAGAACAAGATCCTGCCTCCTTGTTGGCCAAGATAGCGTGAACCTTTGAAGCGTGATCATTCTGAGCTCCATCAATTGCGCTTTGGCAGAACACCGCTGTCACCTGAAGCAAGCAAATCACAAGAATTGCCGGACACATACACCAGGGTGTACACCTCAAGCAAGCATCATCTAAAGAAACGCTGCACCCATATGCCACAAGAATTTGTAGACAATGCCGGCAGAATAAAAGAAGAAGAAATTGCTGATGAAGTCACCCATTCCTACAAGCCACAAAACTTGAGGGGGGCAGCCACCAGAGTGGTGCAGCATAACTCGGCTGCATACAATGTAGATCCACAGACGTGGTCCTACAAGCTCGCAAGCTTAGACACGGATGGTGGTGTCGAAAAATGGGTAAGGCATGCAACGTGAGATCCTAAACCCTAGAGGACCCCAAACAACTGCAGCAGCGCTCCATCAGCCAGCGCAAAGCAAGGCGAGGCGGGAAGGCACCAAGCTGAACACCCCTAGAGCCCCAAAAACACGGATGTGTGCAAATCAAGGAAAATTACTGTAGTTGACCTCGGCATCAAACAGGTAAAGCAAAAGTCACGTGTTACGGCCATCTTTCCTGCAGGACTCTTTTCCTGCAGAACACGATCCAGGAAAGGATCTAACGATGGTTCCTATCAAGAGGCTTCCTACGAGGCCATCCTAAACGCTTCTGGAGTGGGCAAGCAGGACAAGCTGGCGGAGTCACCTCAAGCCAGCTTGAGGTGAAAAAGGTTGTTGTCATGCTGCAGCCCCTTGATCGTGTCCGAGCTGAGTAGTGTTGTGCCGCAGTTGAAATGCCGGTGCCCTAGAAGGTACCCAGGAGGAGGCTGAAAGACATACCGTATACATGTATGATCACCCCGCCCCACCATGAGGTAAACTTCATATTGCTCTTTTCCAAAAAGTGTAAGACTCTTAGCTGGCTCAGCTGATTCTTATGAGGTTGTACATGCCAAACCTCAGCGGAATCCTCTGTCATTGCAGATTGATTTATGCTCCAAGCTTGAAGCAAATCTGAAACTAAACAACAAGCATCGTTTAGATCACCAAATCTTGATGCCGAGTTCAAATGAGAGCTTTCAGCATAGCCTGGCATGTCAATTTTCTTGCTGTCCAGGTCACCACGTTCAACCTCGGCTCTCGGGACCAAAGCGGTTGCCAGTTTGCATGATTTGTCATGCCAAAGCAAATCGACAGAACATGTGCGGAGCAGCCCGTGTTCCACGCATCAAGAAGGCTGCAGCACAACGACAGATTTCTGGATAACGTGCTTTTGGCTGGGTCTCAAATACCTGTTTCCTACCGACGTGATTGCATGCAACACACCTCTGCTTGCTGGCAACTCTCAGTTCTGACAGCCCAAGTGAGCCCCCTCAGCATTGATGCCGTCTCTGCATCCAAGCTACACAGCAAAATATGTAAAGGAGATGTACCCAAGATATATCCAAATCCAGGCTTCTGACATCGCCTCAGGAGGCAAGCAGGATTCTTTCTACCTTGCTTCTGCTATTCAGGCCTTAGGGAGCCCTGGAAAACCCCACTGGCCCTCAGGTGGGGGGCGGTCTTGTGTGGTTCAAGTCTGGTCTGCGTGAAACAGTCTGTGGCCCACATGACAAATGGCGACATAGAGGACGGTAATCAAAACAGGCAAACAAACCCCCCAAAAAATGGCTGTATACGTGGCGGGTTCCGGTTCCAATACTTGCGATTATGAAGCGGGTGTAGCAAAAGCTACTTTAGCACCTCCGCCTGCCGAGGCCACTGTAAGGATACACCAAACAGCTTGTAAGATTGAGTGATGGAAGGGATGGAATGACATGATGAGTAATGAGCGTTCTGCTGCATCACGAGTATACATGACATGCGCATGAAGCAGCCAACAAAAGTTTCAACAATTCTGGGGTAAAAGGGTGCCCACAGTTTGCAAGGAGGTGCTTCGCGTCTAGACTCCCGGGCTACTGTAAGCTGCAACTAGTTTCGCCAAGAGGTCGCCTCGCGTACAAAAGTGCTGTCTGGTGTGTGTCGTGCATTTCATTAGGCCATGCAATCTCTCTCCCTCTCCCTCTTCCTCCCTGTCCGTGCTTCTCATCTTTACAAAGCCCCAGCTTCAGTCTACTTACTAAAAACACAGGTTTGAGCTGAGCTTCAAGGCTGCATTCCCTCACCCAGACCCAGCAACGTTGAGGGTGCCTTGCTCCTGCTTACTCACTGTCCTCTTGTTCCAAAATTGACAGGAGGTGCTATTATCATCTTCTCAGGATCAGAGTAGTCAATCCAATGCCTAGGATGTAGTGCAGCAAAAGCCCTGACTCGTCCTTGACCCGTATTCTTCCCTCAACCTATGACGACCCTCCTTCGGAATATAGTTCCCCCCTCTCTCTCTCACACGTGCTCAGTTCCCCTCTAGCAGCCAAATCTACAACAAGAAAGAAAGCGGGCAAGTTAGTTTAATCAAACTCTGGAAGGGTCAAGCTTGTTTCCACAGCTTCGGACCAGGCACGCGGAGAGGTCCCACAACCTGCTCCCAGCTCACACCCCCAGCGATGCTCATGAATAGGCCTGGGCTAAAGCGGCTAAAGCTCTGAGGATCTTGACCAGGGTTTTTCTGGACTCACATGCAACAGCTCAGACCTTGTGAGCAAGTGCCCTGTGCCCGAGCATGCCCCCAAGCCTGCAAACCCGGCCGGCAAATTGCATTTGCAATGTGTTTTTCGGCGAATTTGGGGCATCTGCAGAAAATAGGTATGAGGATTGGGACCGCAAAGACTGTAAGGCCATGAATATCAGAGTGCCGCACCCCATGCAACATCAACGCGCATTCTTGCTCTGCCAGGCCAACGTAGCCCTCGGCAGGCCAAACTGCCCAAGTGGCTGAGCATCGTGTTGCCCAGGGTGCCAAAGTAGCGGGTGCTTGCATCTGCTTCCTCAGATCTTGCAAGGGCAGGGCATCCATATCGCCACGTCGATTCATAATCTCATTGAGCTGGGGCTTGCTGCATATCTCCAGCCACCACGTCACTCCGGCAGCGTCCAAATAATGATTATATAGATACAAGCTGGCCACGCTGGTTCCCGACTCTGCTGAAATTGGTGGCATCATGGACCTTCCACATGTATTTAAGACATCACCCGTGGATCATATGCGCCTGGGGGAGACACTGATGAGCATCACCATGTGAGTAGGCTGCTGCTGCTGCTGCCGCAATCAGTGCAGCTGGGCTAAGTGTTTCCGAGCAGCGGCTGGCGGAAGGGGCTCCTCAGTCACGCGCCCGAAACAACATTCGCTGCGTAAGCATGAGGGTCCAATGCAAAATGGCTTCATGATGAGGGGAAAGCCTGTGTAACACATCGTTGAACTCCTGCAGCACTTGAGCAAGTGCAAAAAGTTGACCGCATTTGATCACACTGCGCCTCGCATGCCCACTTGTGTCGGCAAATGGAAACATGTTCCCTCAAAAGTTGCCCTTAGCCAGGCTGCGTTATCTGGATCCGAGACGTAACTATTCACGGCCTGCGTGAACCTTGCTGCGGCAAGGCGCACGGAAACCCTGGACAATGACTGCTCTACACACTGTAGTCCAATCTAACAGGGTCTTAATGAGTTCACCCGTTTATCAAAACTCAGTACTAGTAGGTCGCGACGGGAGATGCCAAGAGCACCCACTGCAACCGGAAAATTGCCAACCTTATGCGAATCACTACATGACTCAGCCTCACCAGTCAGAAAGGATTGGGATTTGTTTCGCCGCACAGGTCAATTGGATTCAATGTTGGGCTGGCTCACACGAAAACCCTGCTGCAATCTGCATGCATATGCACGAAGGCTGCAGCACGACCACTATAAGCTGAAACAGGAGCACTTTGGAAAAATCTAGCCATCTTCGCACCGGGCGGCAAGATCGCAAAGACATAGATGATCAATGCCAGCAGCATCAGCGCCCACAGGAGCGACTTCAAGGTGGCAATGATCCTTACTGCTTTGTCTATCCAGCGCTATCCAGCGAAACAGCGAAACGTCTCTGCAGCGCTCGCGGAGACACAGCTTAGTCAGTGCCACTTCATTAGAGTCAGCCGCAAAGCTTAACTTGCAGAAATACTTTGTGAAGCTTGCGCTTCGGTTCTGTACGTCGCGTAGATACATAGAGCCTGTTCTAGTCTCTGTCCGTATTTAGGTCGCCCACGTACAGCAAAGCATGTTTTTTTCGGCTTTGGGGTTGATGCTCGATCTCGCAATACATTGCTGCCTGGCTGCGAAGCAATCAGCAGTCGGAAGGCCATGACAAATCGAAATATTCGGATCAACCGTGCTGCCTCTGGACTTCACCCACAGTTGGCAGCAACAATCTGAAATTGCTGAGTAGGGATTGACAGAAGCAACCCTGTACACAAAGTGTCAAGTTCCCAACCCCCAGTTCGTCATGGGAGCAAGAATCCCAGACTGTTGTAGGATACTCCCTCAAAAGCCCAGCACATCTGCAACAAGGAGCGTACCAGAAACTTAATATGGACGTGTACAGCAAGTTGGGCTGTCTGCCCACTGGCTTGTGAGCGACCAGTGCAAGCGAGCTTCAGCCATTCACATGCCAGAATCATGCAAATATGGAAATTGGCTTTCTGACGGTTAGCAAGAATGAGTGAGTCAGCCATTGGACATGAAACTTTGCCAGGAAACCCACAGGAACCACACAAACCATGCTTTTCACAACCAGCCTTCACGATGCGCGTGATGCGGATTATGCGCAGGGCTTTCAGGCTTGCCAGGCTGCTCAAGCCCCCACCGTCTCCTTCGGATCCTCGTAGGGGCGTTGATTCATGGATGCGTGCTTGATTTCCTGCGGTTTTGGGGTTCGAGGCTCGTCTTCTTGGGTCTGTTTTAGGCCCGTGCCTGGCTGGAAACGTATGACTTGGCCGACGACCCCGCAAATCCAAGAAGGAGACACAGAACTGGAACTGAACGACAACAGAATTCTTTGCTGACACGTTCTATCTCGTATTTCGGGGCTAGCGCCCGAAAGTAAATCCAGCACAGACTCCTCGCGAAAGGTCAGTATACATGCCCATAGAAGC